GCTCCTTTTTTTCTTGAGCAGTGGGTATCTTTAACCTTCCCCCTCGGGCATTGGGTCTTCTGAAAGAGCCAGGTCTGGGATTTTTTTTTTTTTTTTTAAGGATATGGTCCAGTAGCAGCTACCTAATCCCTTAATAACTTCCCTATTCACTAATTTCCCATGATTTCTCTTATCCTATGTGCTTGTACCTCCACTCTAGCTCCGGGCTGTGGTATCCAGTTTCCTACGGCAGAGTGGTCGGCATGTGAGCCACCTGGACTTCATTCACCTGACAGCACTGGGTTACACGCTCTGTGGACTACGACCAGAGGAGCTACAACATATCAGCAGTTGGGAGTTTAGGTCACCTGTAGAGGGGTTATGGGTGATGGTGCTGAGGTGAAGGTGGGCTCTCTGGGGAGGGAAGGATTATGAAGGGGTAGTCCCATGAAAAAAGGGAGATCATTTGAAATCATCTCTTTCTCTCTTAACCACAGCCTCTATCACTGAAGCTGAATTTTCCTTTCTTCCCACTTTTCCACAGCCAAGCAGCTCTCTTCCTGGGCAACCTGCATCTCCAGTGCTCTGAGGAACAACTGGAGGTTCTGGCCCACCTCCTTGTGCTTCCTGGTGGTTTTGGCCCAGTCAGTAACTGGGGACCTGAGATCTTCACTGAAATTGGCACAATAGCAGGTGGGGAGGCTGGACTCTAAATGTTGGTGCTAAATTTCAGGATTTGGTTTCCATATCATGGGTGGACTGGGTGGAGGACTGCTTTGGACTTCTTAAAGCAGAAGTCTGAGAAAATGTTTAGGTAAGGAGTTGGAGACAATGTTAGAAAAGGTAAATTTGGGAATAGTTGGAAGGGAAGTTTTAGGATTGACGAGAAGGGAAGAGACATGACAATCTATAACATTTAGATGAATCCTGCTTCCTTCAATAGCTGGAATCCCAGACCTGGCTCTTTCAGCACTGCTACGGGGACAGATCCAGGGGCTGACCCCTCTGGCCATTTCTGTCATCCCTGCTCCTAAATTTGCTGTAAGTTTTGTTGCATTGGGGTCTGGGTTGACAACAGGAGAACTAAAGTTACATGTATACACTAACTCCTATCCCCACTTCCAGGTGGTGTTCAATCCCACCCAGCTATCAAGTCTCACCAGTATTCAGGCTGTCGCTGTCACTCCTGAGCAAATGGCCTATCTGAGTCCTGAGCAGCGACAAGCAGTTGCATGGGCCCAGCATGAAGGGAAGGAGAGCCCAGAACAGCAGGGTGAGTTCCTGACCCTCTATATCCTGATTCACAATATAAACCCTAATTTGGTGCTGTCTGACCCATAGAGTCTGCCTAGGGAGATCCTTGGAGTGAAGGGGTCTATAGGAAGAGAACTTGTTTCCAAGTACCATTGGCTCCTGGGAAGCAGAGTTGTGATATTCCTCTATTCCTCATAGGGCGAAGCTCAGCCTCGGGCCTCCAGGAGTGGTCACAGTCCTCCTGGGTTCTGGTATTGACCATCAGCTTCACTGGGCACCTGCTATGAGCCTGTCTCTACAGTTAAGAGAGATTATTGAGCAAGAAACCTTACATCATAATGAATAAAGTGCAAATGCAAGTACATCCCAATTATTCTCAGGAAGCTGATGAGAAATATGGGTAAAATGCTAATGCTTTCCACCCACCTGGGAATCAGTGTTCCTGGCATGCCTTATCTGGAGTCTCTTTCCATCATAAACAACTCCACTGCTTCTTTTTATTTCCTGGAGGTTTATCCCTACCCCTCACCCACCAGTAGAAATAACGCAGACAGCTGAAGCATAGCAAGGAGTCTTTACTAAGATGGGGGCTGGAGGTTGAGACAGGATAAGGACAAGTAGAATGGGTCACCATTAAATGGGAAGAAGTCCTGGGGATCTTGAATCATCTGCCAGAGATAGGGAATTAATGTTTGTTTTGGATGAGAGGTGCAGGGATGCGGATATCCTGGCCTCTCTCCAGACGCCGTTCACAGTCAATCAAATAGTTTACTCCATCGATGACCAGTTGCACCAGCTCCACCTGAAGGACACTAATCCTTGATCTCTGCTTCCCATAATCTGAGTTTCTTTCTTTAGCACTTACTGACTTTCCTGCTCTGGAAATTCATTTCCAATTGCCTTTTTGCTTAACCTGAATTTCACTTCAGATTCTGTTACATCCTGAGGCTCACTCTCACTGTCACTATCTCAACCCCCATAGACCTGTACCTCCACCCCTTAGGATCTCACCTCTGACTTGCCCAGTCGATCCAAATTAGAGATGTCAAAGACACTGCCTGTGGCAGCAGTGTCTACTCCTCCAGTCCCACGCTTCTGAAGTCTTAGGTTCTCTAGGATCTTTGGAAAGCGGCTATCCTAGAGGGGAGATAGGGATTGGAGGTAGGGTCAATAGAGGCAAAGACTGTTCCTATCTGCTCAGAGGTTTTCCCCTGACCCTTTAGTCCCAATATGTCTGGCTCCTTTTGAAGTGTCCAACCCCACCCATCCACACTCATCCTCTTCCTCACTTATACTGCTTTCTAAACCCCCCCAACTCCTTTACTTTGCTTAGCAGGGGCAGTTTGATGTGCACTCCAGCCCGAAGTCCAGTGCCCAGGTTAGATGGACAGGTCAAGATGTATCCCAAACGCTCATTCCACATGAATTCCCAGCCACGCTCCTGGATTAGCCGTTCCACCTGAGCCCACAAAGATTCTGTTAGTCAAAAAACAAAGGATATGTGGACCCTCCCTTAGGAACTCTAGAAATATATAGAACAAGAAACTTGGGTGTGAATAAATAACATTGTTTTTTTTTTAAATGAAAACAGTCGATTATTTTCATCATATATGCAAAGCAATTTTGATGTTGTAAAATAATGATGTGCTTTATGATGAAATTGTGAGAAAATATATTGTGTGTGGAAGGAAAGAAAGTTGAGTAAAGCATTAAGGATGATCTAGGGAGCTGGGCCCATTAGCATGTGCCTATAATCCCAGCAGCTTGGGAATCTGAGAATTGCAAGTTCAAACCCAGATTCAGAAACTTAGAGAGGCCCTAAGCAACTTAGCAAGATCCTGTCTCTAAATAAAATATTTAAAAAAGGAGTGGCTCAGTGGTTAAGTGTCTCTGGGTTAAATTCCCAGTATGGGGGGGGGGTTGGGGATGATCTAGGGAAATGAACAGAGGTAGTACAATGAACTGAGAAAGAATTGATTATTCAATGAATTCTGCATGCTTTACAATGAGCAGAGGCTCCTTTCAGATAAAAAATGAAGGTACAAGTTTTGCAACAGAAAGATGCAAGAAAGCCTTCTGTTAGCCATGGAAGGAGCACAAGTGAGAAAGCAGAGACATGTGATAACAGAACAGAAAAGCCAGATTCATAGGGGTGTGTGTGAGAGAGTGAAAGGGGGCCTGGAATGGTGTTCTTGTTTCTCTTAGCTATCCTAATCATAAAAATGATGATTAGAGTTGAAGAGACAGAGGATCTGTCAGTGCAATGAACACAAAGACCATTTGCCAATATTAATAAAGGGGACCCTGTTTATAATTCAGAAAGACATGATGGTATGGGGGGTTCTTTCATGCTGAATATGGGGAACCCTTCGTTAAGAATAACATATACCTAGCACTTATTGAGTACTTGATATGGAACAACCACTTTATCTGCATTATTTAATGTCTCACAACAACCTAAAATGTAGGAAATCGTATTATCTCAATTTTACAGATGAGGAAACTGAGGCATTTAATTTAAAGAGTACTTCCCTACGTATGCATAGTCAGAATATGTTATCCCTTATTGCCAAAAATAGTTTAAACTTCCCAGCTAGAATCTAAAAAAGGAGCTTGCTTTCTTTCAAGTCTAAAATAGAACTGTATAAAGGGAACATACAGTAAGAATTGGGTTTATAGCAGGTTCTAATATAGAATTAAATATGGAGATTCAATCCATACAGGATTGTAGATTCTGTTCAATCCCTTATCTAGAGCCATACATTCTGGAACTTGAGCCATCCTATCCTCCTTTTTCTCTTATCCTTCTCCCACTCTTAGTTTAAAGCCAAGACATGATAATTTAGCAAGAATGACAGAATTTAAAGTCAAGGCCCATCTTGACTCAGAACTGAGGGATTATTTTGGAATCTTGAACACCATAATCTCTCAACCCTACATCAATCCAGGCTCCAGTGTTTTCCTAATCTGCACATCTACCATCCCACATCATATGTCCCAGGAACTAACTTGCCATCTCAGTTATTTCTTCTTTGCATTATCTGGAAACTGCTTTATTTGCTTCTTTTTGTTTCTGACATTCTTTTTCTCTTCCTATATTTTGGGTGACAGTATGTCCTGGCTTTCCCAAGACAGTCCTGGTTTTATGCCCATTGTCCTGGAGTAACAAATGATAACCCTTTTTACTATTAGAAATGTCCTGGGTTGGTTGTTTATGTCAATCTACCTAGGCTGCTCTTTGGTTTTCCTTATTTCCTCCCACCTAGCTTCCTTATACATTCTTTTTCTTTTAATATTTATTTTTTAGTTGTAGTTGGACACAATACCTTTATTTTATTTATTTTATATGGTGCTGAAGATCAAACCCAGGGCCTTGAATGTGCTAGGCAAATGCTCTACCTCTGAGCCACAACCCCAGGCCCCCCCCCCCTTATATATTCTTCTCCAACCTCTTTGAGGCCCCGGCAGAATCTTTCAAACACTCTCTTCATGTTGCCACCCTTTTCCATGGAGATTACTCGTGTATGATCCTCCTCATTCACCCAAATCAAGAAGCTCTTCTCATTGTTGTGCCTGAAGGCAGGAGGTAAAGGAGTCAAGTGGCAAAACAAGAACTGGGAAAGAAAGGGGAAAAAAACATTTATGTGGACACAGGGGATAAAAGAGGTGAAGAGCAGCCTCATACCAGATTCCACGAGCATCTGGCCAGTCTCGAGCCATTCCTGCTGCAGTCAGTAATGGGGACACAGGCTTATCAAATAGAAAGTGGTCCTGGGAAAAGTAAAGCAACTTGGGTTAAGAATCCTTCAGGTATTGAAGCCTTGAACCCAGAGCCCAGCTATTTTATCTGGCCCAAGCTCCACTCTGGTTCTACTCCCCCAACCCAGCTCCCTTTCAGAGTCCCTCACATCAATAAGCTGCTGCTGCTCAGCCTCTGTCATCTCACTGAGCCTATAGTAACGTCCAGCCAGGTCACCCTTCAGGCCACTCAGTGCATCTACCACAACGCGTTCCACCTCTCGCCGCTCTGCCCGAGTGCAGGCTGGAGGCAGACTGAGTCCCCGGATACTTCGGCCAGTTCTGACTCTTGAGGACAATACATACCTCTCATCAAAGTAGCCAGAACGAATCTGAGGGACAAAGGGAATATAAGTCATAGAAACAAGCAGATATATAGCTCAGTTGGTAGAGTGTTTGCCATGCATTTACAAGGCCCTGGGTTCAATCACCAGCACCAAAAAAAAAAAAAAGAAAGAAAAGAAAAGAAAAAGAAATAAACACCCTTGGGCAAGGAGAGATTTCAGGGATTAGAGGACCTTCCTTCACACAAGGCATGTATTCTTCCTGCATACAATGAGGGGAGGAGTCAACTGGGCAAGACTCCAATTGAAGGAAGTATTGTGGACCCTTCCTCAAACTTCCCACCTTAAGCATGGTCATTCTTATTTACTGTTTTCTCCACATCTGCTGTTTCTTAAAATACAACTCTTTCCCCACATTAAGATTAAAAGCTCAGCAGTATAATGACCATGAGTCATGAAATAATCAAGGAGAAGGAATTGGAGATACAAAATCTTTTACATGAGGCAACACAAATCAGAAGTGGAATATATGGCTCACCTTACTGGCATCCAGGTCAGTGGTGTGCTTCATTGTTCTGGGATCATATCCATTGTGTCGCTCTTGAATCACTGGGTCAAACAGGTCAGCAAATATCTAAAGGGGAGTTAAGAGGAAGAGGTGGTTACAGAGAGGAAATCTCTTCTTAGACTTCACTTGTGAATAGATTTCACTGGGTCAGAAAACTTCAGTGTGGATGGCCCAGAGTCTTGAGGGAAAGTGAGGGATCTTTAGGAGAAAGGAGGTGGGATTACTGGGAAGACAGCTTGGGTTACCAGGGAGACTCTGGGGGCCCCCTACCTCATAGGTCTCCTCATCTCCAGCCACCATGCCCACAGTCTTGATGAAGGGGTGGCCAGGGTTGTCCACGCCAGTCTGGATGCACTGATCTAGCGTCCAACCCGTGGGTGTGGTCTTGTCGCAGAGCCGTGCATAGACTGCTGGGGTCAGGTGACTGGCCATGCAGTTGTTGTGCTTTCGGAGGTCTGGGTACTCAGCGCTGGGGAGGGGGTACCCAGTAACCATGGAGGGAGGGCACAGAGGCCTGCACTTAGTGCTATCAGCTGGGAGCTGTCCAGTTAGCCACATTTGCCTTTGCTCCAAGGGAGGAGGGGGAATTAGAGGTAGGCTAAGCCTTGATAATCTCTTTAGGACTTTCAGGGTCTATTCTTTCCCAATAGTTCTAGCTGCCTGTGGCTGGCTGGCTCAGTTCCCCAAGACCTGCACAGTCCCTTCCTCCCATGAGCACAGCATTAGTGATGGGGGAGGGGAAAGACTAAGGAGAATTCAGGAAATGGGGGAGAACAGCAGGAAAAGGAGATGGAGAGTGAAAAGGATAGTTCCTGGTCTTCGGATTTGGAGTCTGGGCAGGGGTGCAAGTAGAACTCATAGGGCCAGAACTGGTCTTGGTGGCGGGGACCGCGGGTTAAAGGTCCCCACAAATGCTCTTGCTTTTTGGGTTTGGTCCCCGCTTCCGCCCCACTGAAGTCTTTTTGTAATTATTGTCCTTGTCTGTTGCCCAGGTCCTCCTCACTATCCCCACCTCCGTTCTCATAACCTCCTCCTGCGCGCCTCAGGCACTGATACCTTGGGGGATACAGCCTTCGTCGTTCACTGGCAGCTCGTACAGGTTCCGGGCGGAGCAGAAATCCAGCAGCTAGGGATCCGGCTCCGGCCAAAGCCAGGAGCCTGAGCCCGGGGCGGGCAGACAGCAGACGAGAGAAGGAACCAGCCATGGCTTACGGGGTCCGAATACTGGATCCCAGAGCAGGAACTGGTGCGACAGGATCAGGAAGGGAGGATGCAATTGGGCAGACTGAGTGCTGGAGCTGGGTCCCAAGCTGATGCCAAATGGGGGTGGGGATGGTGGCTGAAGCCGGAGTAGGATCGGGTGCCAACCAGTCTGCTGGAGAGGCGCAGTGAGCTAGTTGGAGCAAGGCGCAATGAGCTAGTGAGGGCGGGCAGAGCAGAGGAAGGCTGGAGCCGCAGTCTCCAGGGGTGGGGTTCACTTAGGCCCCGCCTTCCCGCCTGCCACAGCGCTAGGTGTGCGGGGGCGGGGGTGGGCAGCACTGGTCAGGTAATTAGGAAGACCTGAGACTCGCACCCCTAAAACTGGGATGTAGGCCCACCTGGGATGAATCTGCCCAGATTTCAGCACCACGTAAAGGACAGCACCACAGCACTCCGAAACCCGAACACCATACCCCCAAGCTCCTTTGGTTTAATCTGAAACCCGATCCCTCGACTTTGTGGGTGTGATAAGGTGACATTGCCAACCTCTACTCTTGCTTTCGGCCTCCCCCAGCAACCTCTCATCTTCCCAGGGGAGGCGGCCGTAAGAAAACCGCGGAATAAACACCGATACCAGAGGAAGACACAGAGAAAGCACAGGGTTAGAGGCAGACAGTAGGATAGACACCCGCAGGCTCAAGGTCACCTTTTCCTAAGAACCAGGAAGAGTACCAAGGTGCCTCCTTGACATACCTGTGCTCTCCTAATAAGGTGGAAAAAGAATTCCCTGAAAGGAATCAGAGAAATATTTGCTGTTTTCCCATCTATGCTCTGTCCTTCATTCCCACTCTGCCCCCAATCTGCAGCCGTGCCTCCACTTCTAAGTCTCTACTTATCTTTTTTCCCCACCCTTTTCCCCATTCCCTACTTCACCTTCAATCTTTTACTTTTCTTCGTCTTTTCCAGGCTCAAACCTGTTTGCTGCTCACAGGTCTCCCTCCGAGTAGTCTCTGCGAGCTTGCCTACCTGTTACTTGCACTGGGGATGGGGGTGGGGCGGGAAGGGAATTGTTAGCTTTCTCTTCCTTCTTTCCCTTCTCTGTAGCTCCCAGTTCCTGGACTGGAGAGGAATATAAAGAGAAAAGGGTGTGGTGAGATGACTGGGTGTGGAATGGAACAGGCAGGCACAGGTCTCCAAGCACCCCATGTGTTTCCTCTCTTGGCTCCCTAATGCTGTTTAATCCCGAGTGTAAAGGCGAATGGTGTCCAAGGGCATAAGGTCATCAGGGAGTCTCTGCCTTCCTCCTAGTCTTCTCTCCTCTCATCATAAAGTTCCTATTCAGATTTGAGAGGGCTTAGTTTCCACAGCTCCACATATGACTGGTAGGGAGGAGAATGAATGCTGGAGCTGAAATAGGGATGTTCGAGGCTTCAGTGTGGAGGGTCAGTTAAGATGGAGTAGATATATTGGTATTAGTCCCTTCCTTCAACTGTCCTAATGTACCCACAATACAGGAAGATACTTTGAAATTTCAAGAGAGAGTATTTTGGAAGGAGAAATTCCCTTCACATTGTCCTCTGGCTCCACTGATGTCTCCCCACCATACTCTTATTCCCTTAGCTGTCCTGAATGTCCTTTTTCCTACCTTCCTCGTTTGTAGGTATCCTTAGAAACTATCCATCTCTCTTTGGTATCCATTATTAACTCTTTCTCCTGACAAGACAGTAAGTATCAGAGAATACGTTAAGTTCTGCAGTTAGAGTGAGGTCACTCTTGGAGAGACAGAAAATGTTACCTGTGCTAAAGGTGCCCATTACCTAGGTAAAGGTATAGCTATGAGTAAGTAAATATAATTACTGGGTATGGTGTATATTTATCCAGATAAAAGAGAGAGATAATCTTCCAAACCAGTAGGGTTGTAATTTTACTTAGAGAGTGTTAAGGAGATAGGGGGTGAGAAGAGAATTATATATAGAAGGAGAAATAAGACAGCCAGAGGAGTAGAGAAATTATTCGAGTTTGAAAGTAGTTATCTTAATTTATAATAGCTCCACTGAGAAGGAACATTTATTTTTATACTTTTATTGTTCTTTGTGAGCCTCTGACAGACATATCATGTATTAATACTCATTTAAAAAAATATCCTACAGCATATGTGAAATAGTCAACACATCTGTATTTGATTTATCTAATAATTACTATTTTAAATAATATGTAATATTTTTCAAGCATTTTACATTTGCAAAGAACTTTTATATATATTATTTTACAGAATCAAATTGTATTATTCCAGTGTATGACTAGGAACAGAATCTATATTTTCATGGAGATCATAAGAGAAATTAAATACATGAAAGATACTATAATAAGTTGTTTGAAGGGTTGGAGTGATGGAGAAGGTATGAGCCTGAGCATGAACTAGGGAGGCATCTGTTCTTCTGAGAGCCAATGCTTAGAATCATCTCTCTCCATTCAGGAGAGTTTGGCTTTGGGGTAGGGAGTCAGTACCTTCAGGCACCTGACTGGCAAAGGGGCAATATCCCTAAGGTTGCAAAGAAGAATTTGTAACTGTTCTGACAAAGGAAACCCAAGTGAAGATGCAAGGATAATAATCAAAACACAAACATATCCAAAATACTTTCACATAACCAGTACACTATAAATTAGTTAATTTATAAAAATTAGTTATAGATGGACACAATACCTTTATTTTGCTTATTTATTTTTATGTGGTGCTGAGGATTGAATCCAGTGCCTCACACATGCTAGGTGGGAGCTCTACAACTGAGCCACAATTCCAGCCCCTAAATTAGGCTTTTAATATTACTTTTAAGAAAGATGGAGGCTCAGGGAAGTTAAATGACTTGCCCAAAGCTACACAACTGTAAACGTTAGACCAGGATTTCAAATCCAGTTTTGCAGATCCCCAGCTTGGAGGGTATAGAAAACACAGGGTGTGGAGATAGGAATCAACTTGTCCAGTCTTCTTTGTCCATCCATTTTCTTGTATCCGACAAAAAATAAGTCTCTTCGTAGCCAGGCACTGTGACTCATGCCTGTAATTTCAGTTATTTGGAGGGCTGTCACAGAATGATCAAAAATTCGAGGTCAGCCTGGACAATTTGGAGAGTTCCTGTCTCAGAATAAAAAATTTAAAGGACTGGGAATGTAGCTTGGTGGGAACTCTCTCCTCTCCGCCCTCATTCAATCCCCAGTACTGGAAAAAATAAAGTCTCTTTGTTCCTTCTCTTAACTTTTTAATCTGCTTCTTTGTTTTTGTCTTTGTTCTCCCTGTCATTTCTCTTTGCATTTTACATTTTCAGCCTATATTTATTGGATTTTTACCCCGTTTTGTCTTATAAAACAAACATAAGATTGATTTTTCTCTCAAGGAGGTGCAATGGCACAAACTCTTGTCTTCTCCTTTGTGTCTCGCTTTTCCCAAAACCTCACTGCCTTTGTCTCAGACCAAGAGCCTGAACTCTGGCGACGCAGTAAGAAATTAAAGGTAGAAAAGCATCAGGTTGCATTCCCGCCCGCAGCCACTAGGAGCCACCCTCCTCTGTGCAGGAGCACCGGCCAACGCAGCCTGACTGTTGCCGGTGCGCGCCCTCCGCTGATTGGTGGCACCGCAAAGAAGTCGAGCTTTGATTGGACCACTGTCAGGTGTCGCTGCCGACAGGTTCGGCTGTGCGAGCGGAGAGAGGCGGGTGAGTGCGGGCCGGGGGCGGTGGGGGAGTGGCTGGGGGCTGGGGGCGGTATCGGAGGGGGTGGGCGCGGTGGAGTGGGCTCGGTCTTTGCAGAGGGCGGTGGTTAGTACCCGCTGGGGGCAGCTTCGGGGAAAGAGGCCCAGCGGAGAGGCCTCTGTGTCAGCGCAGGGAGAATGAGGCGGGGGCGAGTAAAGGCTAGAGAAGTCCGGATGGGAGGGCGGTATTCGTGATCCCGAGCTCTGTGAGGAGATGACGAAGGAGAGGGTCAGCGAGAGAGGAGATGAGTGTGTAAGGATCCGAGTCAGGAAGAGAGGGTCCTACAAGGGGGCGGAAGGAGTGGAGCGTCCAGGGGAGAGGAGCAGGGAGGAGGGGGCCAGCTCGAGGAGGTCGGGGACTGGATGGACTGGGGAGGGTCCGGGCGGGAGGGGCTCAGCGCAAGGAGGGGAGGGAGTGGAGTGGACAGGGGAGTGGATCCACTCGAGGAATGGACTGTTGTAGGGAGGAGGCGAGCCTCCAAAGAACGTCGTGTGAGGAAAGAATGGATCTCAGGAAGCCATTGTAGGGGAATCATTGAGGATTTAGTATAAATATGTAACCGAGTGTGATGACTCATGTAAAGGTTTGAAGGCCTGTGTAATTCCGGGGAAGCAGTGAGTGGGAGGATTAATATGATTAGTTGACTAGTAATGGGGGACAGCACTCAGTGTGGGGAGTGGTTGGGGGAAATCAATGAAGAGTCAAGTAGGGGAAAGAAGGCAGTATGAATGTGTTAATGCTCAGTACGGGGTGGCAGAAGGAATAGGGAGTAAGTATGGAGGATTAAAATGTGCATTAAGAAGGAAGTGAGGTAGGAAGGAGATAGTGTTAGTGGCCTGAGAAGTTTTTCTGTTGGAAGTATTTCTTTATCACCCATGGAGCCCTCCAATCAAGTGCAAGGTGATTTAGGAAATTAGGGAACTATGCAAAAAGCAGCACTAAATTCTAAGGGATAAAGAAGTTACATGGTTTATTTATCCTCCCTTTTCACCTCTCTAGATCTGGTTAACATAGATGTTTATGAGAAGATTGCCTGCCCCTTCCTTCCTGCTTACCTTACCCATTTTCTCCTTCCACCTTCTCGTCTTTCTTTCCTCCCTCCTTCTCTTCCTTCCTTCTTTTCATATTTATTGAGGCCATAATTAGTCCGCCCTTTTGCCCAGTGTAGAATCTGAAGTTTTCTTTCGCAAGAAAATTTGGGGGAGAGGATGAAGGGAAAAAAAGCATAGAAAACAGGGAAGTGGTGCCTGACATTGTGGCGCAGTCCTGTAATCCCAGTCTCTTTGGAGACTGAAGCAGAAAGTTTGAGGTCAGTCTGGGCAGTTTTAAAAAGATCCTGTCTCAAAATGGGGATAAAAGCAAAAACAAAAACAAAAAACAAACTGGGGATGTAGCCCAGTGGTGGAGTACTTGCCTAGCATGGGTGAGGTCCTGGGTACAATCCCTGTACCAAAATAAAAATAAAGAAAACAGGGAAGTGGTTTTGGGAACACCACATTAAACCCCAGCTTCTCTCAGAGGTACTTCTAAATAAGTCCAAGCTTATTTCATAGCTATTTCTGTCAGCCTTCTATTTTTGCCTTGTTAAATATGAATTTGGACCTTTCAAGTCTGTATTCTTGAATAGACTCTTCTTCTCCATTCTGTTATTTACCACCACCACCCATTACAGAGTTGTAATAGAATTTCAAGAGCATGACTATACATTCAGTAAAAATTCATTAAGCGCTTAGAGAAAGAAAAGGCAAAGAATTTTGAATCTTAGACGTGAGAGAAACCCCCTGATTCAGAGAAAGGTTAAATAGTGAAACAAAATTCTAATTACCTAAACTGTACAGAAATCTTGGGAATGCAAGTCATGGGAATTGGGTCAGGTCACTAAAGAAGAATTCATAGAAATAACTATAAATTAGGAGGAGTACATGTATGAAACCTGCAGTGCATAAGTGGAAATGTTCAGTCTAAGAAAATGTCATACCCGTGGTGGTTGAGCAATAGAGATAACAGGTGAAGACTGGAAAGGTCAAGGTCTATGTGAAGGTCATCTATTACTTCCTAATCAAAACTGCAAAACCCCATTATAATGACAGAGTTTAAAATAAAACTAGTAAAGTAGAGAAAGTAATTGTTGAAGACTTTTAAAAATCTATAAAACTAAATTAGTTCATTTACTTAAGGAGTTTGTGGCTTTCATCAGAGTTGTCAGTATTTCTGAGAACTCCTGGAGACCATGGAAAATTGCTGATGTATGACTCAATTTTATTTTTGGAAAATAATAACAGATGCTAATATCCCTGTAATTCACTATTAGCAAATGTTTGCCTTTTGTGTATTTGCTTCAGATCTTTTTAAAATTTAAATAAACATTATAGTTAAGGCTGTGAAGTACCATGTGAATCATATGAATCTTTCTCAGTTCCATTCTCCTTTCTTCTCAGAGGTAACCACAATCATAAATTCAATGTCTTCCTTTTAAGTCCATGTTTTTATACTTATAGTAATTATTTTTGCAGTCATAAACAATATGTACTCAATACAATACAAACAATATGACTCAAATTAATGTCTTAAGATATTTTTACTGATATGGCTTTAGGCAGGCCTTTTTTCCACTTAGCTCCTGAAGTGAAGGACCTTGCCCTAGACCAGCACTGGTTTTGTAATGTGTTATATTGCTTGTTTTTACAAATGGAATTGTACTGTATGCATATCTCTACAGTTTGCACTTGGAAACTGACAACTTGTTATATATATCTCTGTTCACTTTTTATTTTTTCTAGTTCTATCACTAAGCTCATTCATCACAGCCTTTTTAAATTTTTATTTTGAGTCAGGGTCTCTCTAAATTGCCAGGACTGGCCTTGATCTTGTGATCCTCCTACCTCTGTTTCCTGAGTAGTTGGGATTACAAACTGTGTGTCATCATGCTAGGTCTGATTCATTTCACTTTTTTTTCCCCTGGGTACTGGCGATTGAACCCAGGGCTTCTCACCCATGCTAGGCAAGAATTCTACCACTGAACTACATCTCGCACTTTTATTTTTTATTTTGAGGCAGGGTCTTGGTAAATTGCCAAGACAGGCCTCAAACAGATTCTTCTGCCTCAGCCTCCCAAATTGCTGAGATTACAGGTGTCTGCCACTGCACCTGGTTAACCTCCTAAATTCTGATTCACTTTACTATGTTTCATTTATTGCATTGTATCCATTCTTCTAGTTATAACATCTAAATTGTTTTCAGTTTTTTTCCATTAGCAACAGTGAGATTAAAGACAGCTAGGTGTAGTGGTACATGCTTGTAATCCCAGCAATTTGGGAGACTGAGGCATTTTAGTGAGGCCCTATCTCAAAGAATATAAATGACTGGGGGTGTAGTTTGGTGGTAAAGAGCCCCAGGGTTCAATTCTCAGTACCCTCCCCCCTCCCCCGCCCCCCCCCCCAAAAAAAAAGAAGAAGAAAGAAGAAGGGGAGGAAGATGGTTAAGAACATGTCTTCTTGGGCTGGGGATGTGGCTTAAGTGGTAGCGCGCTCGCCTGGCATGCATGTGGCCCGGGTTTGATCTGCAGCACCACATACCAACAAAGATGTTGTGTCCATCGAAAACTAAAAAATAAATATTAAAAAATAATTCTCTCTCTCTCTCTCTCTCTTTAAAAAAAAAAAAGAACATGTCTTCTTATGTAGGAAAATTTCTCTACAGCAGGGTTTCTGTACATTGTCACTACTGACATTTTGAACTGGAGGGTCTTTGTTGTATGTGGATATCATATACATTTTAAAATGTTTAGCAGTGTCCTGCTCTCTTCTTACAAGTGCCAATAACACCTTTTCAGGTATGCTAAGCAAAAATGTCCCCTGTGCAGCAAAATCACAACTGGTTGAGAAAGACTACTCTAGCTGTGTATATATAAAAGTGCAACTGCCAGCTTGTTCTGACTCATTTTCCCTGATGTGAAGGACCTTGTCCTAGACTAGTACTGATATCAGGAGACAGTAACAAGACATTGAGATTAGAGTTTCAGAATGGACCAGAGACTGCTCTTTGGATGCTTGCATCATCTACCTCCCAGCCAGCACTAGACTTCTTTCCTTGAACTAATTTTCTGGACTTGGGCTTCTGTCTTTTAAGATGGAAGAGGTGAAGGGGAGATATTGGAAATTTTAATGTTCTATTTATTTTTTAGTTGTAGTTGACACAATACCTTTATTTTTATTTTTATTAAATAAAATATCGAACCCAGGGCCTCTCATGTCCTAGGTGAGCACTCTACCTCTGAGCCACAACCCCAGCCCCTCAATTAATGTTTTTTTGAGTTAATTCTTGGTAGAAACGAAGATGAAGTTTAAGGGCAATGGCATCTGAATTGTCTCATTCCTTTATTCCTGAGTTAAATCCTTGAGTTCAGAATTACTGTGGCACAGGGTAGAAATATTGTGGAATGAATACAGAATTTGAAATGTCACTTTCTATTCTGGTACGGAATCAATAATAGCCTTCCTTGAAGAACTGTCTTTCCCATTTGCTACCTGAAGTTAACATTGTTTCCTGCTGGCAGAATCAGGGACATGCGTGCACTGAAAGTCTTAATCTCCAGATCTTCTTAGCTTGGTTAGGGTGAGATGATCAGGGAAGAAAAGGGAAACTTTTCTTTTACAGTTTTTTTTTTTTTAATTTCAAATCATTGCCCACAGCCTCCCTTATTGTTGACCTTTCTTTCACATAGCTTTGTTTCCTGTTTCCACTTGTACCATGTAGTCCCCTTATTTTCTAGTTCTCCATACCCAATTCCCACTCATTGCTTGAAGGCTTAGATTCTGAACTGATGGGGTACCCCCTCTCTGCAGAACGGGATGAGTGGGTGTTCCGGCGGGGATGTGGTCATTGACGGCCAATGAGGACGAGAGCACCACAGCTCACTTCTTCCTTGGAGCTGGAGATGAGGGGCTGGGCACTCGTGGAACAGGCATGAGGACAGAAGAGAGTGACAGTGAGCTCCTGGAGGACGAGGAGGATGAAGTGGTAAGATTAGGGAAAATGATGTAATTTGGTGTTGGAGCCCCCATCATAGAGACTTGAGATCCTATGGGATAGAGACATCTCTCTGCTCTTTCCAAATATATAGACTGTCTGTCATAAACAAGCCCTATCCTGGTTTAGGGGCAGGACAGTGAGATGATTAATTGCTTCTCTTTGAAACCCCTGCCCTTTTGCCCTTCTCCTATTGTCTCATGGTTATTGGTTCTCTGACTCTTCTGCTTGAGCATATATTTCCTATAGTGGAAAGCTCCTATTCTGTAGACAGTAGTAATCCCTAGACATGCCTCAACCTAGTCCAAAGTTAGTAGGCATCCTTGGTCCCCAGTGTCAAAAGTCCTGAGAAGAAAGTGTGCCCTAAAGAGATGATATTGTGTTCCTTAATGAGGGTAATATAGATGGGAAGTTCCTATAATCCTGAGAGTACTTTTTCTCTGTAGCCTCCTGAACCTCAAATCATCGTTGGCATTTGTGCCATGACCAAGAAATCCAAGTCTAAGCCAATGACCCAAATCCTAGAGCGACTCTGCAGATTTGACTACCTGACCGTTATCATCCTGGGAGAAGATGTTATTCTCAATGAACCTGTGGAAAACTGGCCATCCTGCCACTGCCTCATCTCTTTTCACTCTAAAGGTTGGTATCTGGAAAGAAAGACAGGAAGGGATGGTGGTGGGAATGCTGGATTGGGAATGAGGTTCTTACTGTCTTATTAGTAAAAAGGCCATCAGCTCCTCCCAACACTAGAGAACAGTGCCAAGGGATTTGCTTTCCCTAAATCTTGGAGGAGTTGCTGGGTGTAATTAAGCCTCAGGATAGTTCTAAAACTCAGAATCTCTGACAGAGTTGGGTTTCTGGAAGGATCTTAAACATAATCTTTTTTCCTGATGAATATCCTAGACTTAGGAAACTGGACAGAGGAATAAGTAAAGGGTTGGATGGGTAGAGGAGCTCAGTATCAGCTATGACCTTTAATGTGTCTCTCTGTCTCTCTTGCCATTTTCTTACCCTGTCTCTTTCACTTTCTTTGTTTGGTCTATTTTCTTTTTTCCATCCCAGGCTTTCCTCTGGACAAAGCTGTTGCTTACTCCAAGCTTCGAAATCCCTTTCTTATCAATGATCTGGCCATGCAGTATTACATCCAAGATAGGTATAGCTTTCTGTGGACCAGTGGGATGGATAACCCTGAGATCATTCCCATTTGGGGAACCACTCTGGGAGGGGCAGAGTCAAACAAACATGTTTAATTTTTGTATCATACCCTATTGAGTTCTGTGCCCTGGTATCTTCCAGTTCCTATGCAAATGATATCCCTAGCCTCTTCCCTTAGTCAATCCCTACTTCTCCCAGCTAAATTTATTTGGGGGTGACAGGAGAGAGGTGTACCGGATCCTGCAGGAAGAAGGTATCGATCTGCCTCGATATGCCGTGCTCAACCGTGACCCTGCCCGGCCAGAAGGTGAGTACCTGCCCTTGCCTTGCTTTCCATGACTTAGCCCAGTGTCTGTCCTCTAAATATCTCCTATATACCATCTATCTATGTGGGACTTTGGTTATTGGATTATGGGTAGGATAAGAACCATGGGTCTTTGGACAAAGACTCAGACCTGTTACATAGATACTGTCATATCTATATACCACATATCTATATTACTATATCTGTTACTAAGAGATGGCCATAAAGTTTTGAGGGTTGTAAAGATTAAAACCCCAGGGAAATGGGAATTGGAAATATTCTATAACCTTAGGCCCTACACACTCCCACCTTTTAGAGTGCAACCTGATAGAAGGTGAAGATCAGGTAGAGGTCAATGGAGCCGTCTTTCCTAAGCCCTTCGTGGAGAAGCCAGTGAGTGCAGAGGACCACAATGTTTACATCTATTACCCCAGCTCTGCTGGAGGAGGAAGCCAGCGCCTCTTCCGTAAGGTGGGTGGGGACATTTGAGCATTTGGGAAGTTAGAGAGGTGGAAGGGTGAGGATGATATTGTGAAGAAGGGGGCTGAAGGATTTGGGGATAGGGTGGTGGATTGAGGCAATGTTTTCTTTCCTTTCTTTTCTTCCTGAAGATTGGCAGCCGAAGCAGCGTTTACTCTCCTGAAAGCAGTGTCCGAAAGACAGGGTCATACATCTATGAGGAGTTTATGCCAACAGATGGCACAGATGTCAAGGTTATGGTGGACACAGGGATTTAAGATCTTTCAAAGGTCTGGGTGGGGATGGGGTTCTTGGGAAGCCAGTGCATGTGGAAGGGGTGCTAGAAATTAAATGTGAATTCAGTTGGCTTTCAATTTCAAGTGAAGATAATGAATGGAGAATGTAGACATTCTTATTTACACTGTCAGAGCAAGTGCAAGGTGGCATGAGAAATGGTGTAGTGTTGATAAATTACTTTTTAGTGAGGACTAGATAATAGTGCTAAAGTTCTAAGGAGAAGCCTTCCTAATAATTCTGCGGTTGGGCTCAATAAAAATAATGTCAGTCTCCTTATTCTTAATACTCAGGGTTTTTTTTTGCTTTGACTTTGTTTTGTTTTGTTTTTACTCTGAAACTAGTCTACAGACCTAGTCCTCATATTGTCTTCTCATATACAGGGTGAGCTGTGGGCATACTCAGTGATGCTATGTACCTGCAGGTGTATACAGTGGGGCCAGATTATGCCCATGCTGAAGCTAGAAAATCTCCAGCTTTGGATGGAAAGGTTGAACGAGACAGTGAGGGGAAAGAGGTTCGATATCCAGTCATGCTGACTGCCATGGAAAAGCTGGTGGCCAGGAAGGTCTGCGTAGCTTTTAAGGTAGGGGAAGAACCATGGCATTTGTGGAATGAGGGAGACAGACAGGAGCAGAAGTCTGTCAAAGAATCTTTTATTCTCCATGTCTCCTTCTCCTGCAGCAAACTGTTTGTGGATTTGACCTTCTTCGTGCCAATGGTCATTCTTTTGTGTGTGATGTCAATGGCTTCAGTTTTGTCAAGAACTCAATGAAGTACTATGATGACTGTGCCAAGATTCTGGGGTAAGAGACAGTAGTCTGTGCTGAGAGAATGAACTTAGAGGAAAGAGACGGAAAGCTTTTGCTTCTTAAAAAATATTGCAAAAAGGGCCAGGTGTGGTGGTGCTTGCCTGTAATCCCAGCCGCTGGGGAGGCTGAGACAGGAGGATCAAAAGTTCAAAGCCAGCCTCAGCAACCACGCGAGGCATTAAAAACCTCAGTGAGACCCTGTCTCTAAATAAAATACAAAATAGGGCTGGGAATGTGGCTCAGTGGTCAAGTGCCCCTGAGTTCAATCCCTGGTACCCTTCCCTCCAAAAAATATTGCAAAAATGATTTAAGAGTGAAAAAGGAAAAAAAAGCAAAAGGGCTTCTCATCACCTATGCTTTCCCAGTGCTGCAGTCCTCAGAGATGATAACTGTTAACAGCTTTAGACATAACAGATTATCTTTTTCTGCCATGTATAAATAAACTAGATTTATTTTACTTAAGATGATCATATTATGAAACTGTTCTGCAACTTGGGTTTTTTTAAAAAAATCATCATATAATGTTTAAACTATTCAAAAATATGTAAGGAGTAATGAACATGGTGAACATCCATGAATATAGTAGTGCTGGCTGAGCATTTACTAGCCTAAGAAATAAACAAGAATATAGATGAGCCAGGTACAGTGGTGCATACTTGTAATTCTAGTGATTCAGGAGGCTGAGGCAGGAGGTTTGCAAGATTGAGTCCAGTTAGTGAGATTGTCTCAAAAACAAACAAACAAACAAAAAACCAAACACTTCTGGATTCAATCCCCAGCACTGCAACAAAGGGGAAAAAAAAAGAATATAGTTGAAGCCCCTTACACTCCTCCCTGGTTACATCCCCTCTTCCATGTCCAGAGGGAACCACAGTCCTTAATTTGCATTTATTTATATTTCTACCACCTCTGTGAGGGTATATGTTTGCATGTTTTCAAACGTTTTATTAATGTATTCTTCTATCACATTCTTGTTTTTGTGCGCTTCATTCAGATTTATAGTACTGATTTGTTTATTTTCACATTTTTTTCATATTTCTCCTTCTAGAAACACCATTATGCGGGAACTTGCCCCACAGTTCCAGATCCCATGGTCCATTCCCACAGAGGCTGAGGACATTCCTATTGTTCCCACCACATCTGGCACTATGTAAGTGAAAATAAAAAATCTGGAGTAACATTTGGGATTCCTTAAGCCAGACCAGTGGTTGCTCCTGACTCATGCCATCTAACAGGTAGAGCCTGGGTCTCTTCTAAGTAGTCCCCTTATCAGTACCTATATCCCTAATCGCAGATCCTTGCTCCTCTGTTCTATGACGTGTGAAGTATGATGTGAGGATGGGAGGTAATGTGAGGTTGGGATAGGAGAGAGGCTCTGAGAACATTCCTTATCTTAGGATGGAGCTTCGCTGTGTCATTGCAATTATCCGTCATGGGGATCGTACCCCCAAACAGAAGATGAAGATGGAGGTGACACACCCAAGGTAGGAGAAATATCCAAATGTAGACAGGTCTTTGTGAGGGAGATTGGGTAGAGAACAGACAGCTCCTAAAAGCTTGATTTGTCTTGCTCCTTACTTCTTCAGGTTTTTTACTCTATTTGAAAAACATGGTGGATACAAGACAGGGAAATTAAAACTCAAGCGACCTGAGCAGCTTCAGGTAAGGTGGTGAATCTCACCAGAATGAGTGCTAGGAGAAGAAAGGTGTGGGGTTGATAAGAGATAGGGTGGAAGGGCAAGCCTCAAGGACATGGCCTCCTACATGGAGACCCTATTATTTCCTCTAGGAGGTCCTGGACATCACAAGGCTGCTGTTGGCTGAACTAGAAAAAGAACCAAGTGGTGAGATCGAGGAGAAGACTGGGAAGCTAGAGCAGCTGAAGTCCGTGTTGGAGATGTGAGAAAGGGGATAGCAGAAGGGAACCTGTAACAGTGAGAAGTGAGGTACTAGGGCACAAAGTAAACTGTTGTTGTATCCTGCAGGTATGGTCACTTTTCAGGTATCAACCGGAAGGTGCAGTTGACTTACTACCCTCATGGAGTAAAAGCTTCTAATGAGGGGCAAGGTAAGATAGCCCCTCTTTCAATTATCATTCGCATCTCTTGTTCTCAAACCTGTAGAGTGCCTCTACCTGAAATTACCTTTATGGTTTCCTCAGAAGTTGTAACAGTTAGATGTTCCTAATATTTTCCTTAGATCTAGATCTACTCACTGCCCCATATTCTCTCAGATTCACAGAGGGAGGTTCTTGCTCCATCTTTGTTGCTGGTTCTGAAGTGGGGTGGAGAACTGACTCCTGATGGCCGTGTTCAGGCTGAGGAGCTGGGGAGAGCTTTTCGCTGCATGTACCCTGGAGGACAGGGTGAGTGTTGGGATAAAATCCTTAGTAGGGCTGGAGTGAGATGATTAGAAAATAAGACAGAGAAAATGGAAAGAGGCAATGGGGAAGTTAGAGAGGAATAGAATATTCTTTCCTCTATATAGGTACTTATAGCAGTCTATTTCTGGTCCTTTCCTTTGCCCCCAGGTGATTATGCTGGCTTCCCTGGTTGTGGGCTGCTTCGTCTCCATAGCACTTTCCGCCATGACCTCAAGATCTATGCCTCTGATGAGGGCCGTGTCCAGATGACTGCTGCTGCCTTTGCCAAGGTGCCTATTATGGCTTTTTCACAGTCCCAGCGTCTATTAAGTAGAGAAACAGAGGGTTTGGAGAACTAGTTGGGAAATGTCAAAGTGTTTGTATACCAACTCAAAAGAAGCTATCACATTGTATACAATTGAAAAGAAGATGAGAATAGTTAGGGGGAGTAGGTCTCCTTGCTCCTCAACCAGCTCCTGTTTGCTCTCTGGAATAATCTAGGCCTAAGAGAACTGGCTTGGAAAAAAGAACTAATTGACCTTGGGCTTCCCCTTCAGGGCCTCCTGGCTCTAGAAGGAGAGCTGACACCCATTTTGGTACAAATGGTGAAGAGTGCCAACATGAATGGTCTCCTGGACAGTGATGGTGATTCCTTGAGCAGCTGCCAGCATCGGGTGAAGGCTCGGCTGCACCACATTTTGCAGCAGGATGCACCCTTTGGCCCTGAAGACTATGATCAGGTCAGGCTCTCCCTATTTCTGTGCCCCAAATACCCTGGATCCCAAGTTCCTAGAATTCTAAATAATAATAGTGATCAGTGTAATAGTACTTATTACATGCCAAACTTTGTTTTAGGTGTCTTACACATATTATCTTATTAATCCTTATAGCAACTATTGGAGATAAGTAAATGCCATAATTCTCTTATCCACAATTGCAAAAATTAAAAAGATATTTATCAGTTTGACATCATTCATTTGGCAGCCAAACCCTACATGAATTGTCATAGGACTATTTATACTTCTTTAACTTCCTAGTTAGTGTCAATAGTCATACATTTTGTTGCAGAAATATTAATGTGTTTGGTTATGCCCTAAATTGAGCTGAAGGCATTAAATAATGTGTGACATAAACACTTTTTAACTTCTGAAGTTCAAAAAATTTTCACTAAATGTAGCTAATCCCAAGGACTGTGAATGGGAGAATGTTTCAGTTATCTCTTGTTATATAAAAAACTATACCTCTGGGGGCTGGAGATATAGCTCAGTTGGTAGAATGCTTGCCTAGCATGCCCTGGGTTCAATCCCCAGCACCACAAAACAAACAAACAAACAAACAAAAACTATCTCCCAAACTTAGCAACTTAAAGCAATAGCCATTCTATTATCTCTCATAGTTCTGGGCTTTACTGGTCTAGCATTGGGTCTCTTCTGGGGCTATCTAGGAGGTTTGACTGGGGTTCTGGGATGGGTGGCTTTCTCCTTCTTTATGCTGTCCCTATAATCTCAGGAAGTATCTTCTTCACAAGTTTTCTTGTGACTTCTCAAGCATATAACTGAATTTCTTTTTTTTAATATCATTTTTTTATTGTTGTTGTTTATGATTTTTTTTATGTGATGATGGGGATTGAACTCAGGGCCTCATGCTTGCTAGGCAGGTGCTTTACCACTGAGCTATTCACTAGCCCCATGACTGAATTTCTTAAATGATGCTTTAGGGTTCCCTTAACACAGAAATTTACCAGCTTTCTTAAAGTATAGACCCAGAATTAGCACAACATAAGTTTGTTATTTTTTTATTGGTTAAGTAGTCACAGGGCCAGGCCAAGGGAAGAGTCAAGGGAAGGGAAGACAAAAAATTAATGATCACCTTTAATTACCACAAGGACTGTTGGAACTGTACTACTTTTCTCCCATTTTACAAATGAGGAAATATAAGCTCTAAAAATTTAAGCAGCTTTTTCCAATATCATACAGCTACACAGCTAGTATGAACTCTAGGAGTCTAACTCCAGAGCATAGGCTGTTAATTACTACAATACACTGCCTCTCAGTCTCAAATCATAGTGGGTACCATTATCCAATGTGACCATCCTTTTTCTTGGGTATCCAGACCACAGTTGACCAGGCAGTGGTTTTCCACTATTCCAATACTCATTTCTGATAGGTTCTTTTTTTTTTAATTGTAGTTGGACACAATACCTTTATTTCATTCATTTATTTTTATGTGGTGCTGAGGATCGAACCCAGGGCCGCGCACATGCTAGACAAGTGCTCTACCACTGAACCACAATCCCAGTTCCTCTGATAGGTTCTTTTAAAAATTATTCATTTTTAAAATTGTATCTTTTTAAACATTTTTAAGTGTACAGTTCAGAGGCAGTAGGCATATTCATATTATTCTGTAACTGTATACTGATAGGTGTATTTTTGGTGTGTTTGTGTTTGTGTGTGAGTGTGAGTGTGTATGTGTGTGTGTGTGTGTGTGTGTGTGTGTGTGTGTGTGTGTGTGTGTAGTGCTTAGGAACCCAGGCAAGAGCTCTACCAATGAGCCATATCCCCAGCCCTATGACAGGTTCTTAAATGAGTTACATAGTTAAGTACATAACGTGTCTTTGCTGTGTTCTCCTCTGAGCAAGACTCAATAAGGGACAGAATCTTGCTGCCTTATTTTTCAATCTGTGTTTAATACCAAATCTAAAAAATCTCCCTTGCTTCCTTTTTCTAGTAAGAGTGAAACTTATGAGGCCTTAGGTAGACCTGTGCATACTACCTAGAATCTTCTTCCTCCCCATTTCTCATTGAATGTGACTGTCCTAAAAGCTTGAGTTGGAATCCAATTCTGTGGCAGCACTTCTACTCTAGGTCCAGGCAATAAACACTCATAAAAACATTCTGCCGATATTTTATAATAATGTTATAGAGATTCTGTAATAAACTCACAGGAATCTGGGCAATTAGCACTAAACCTATCTTGCCTTTCTTCACTCTTCCTCACAGCTGGCTCCCACAGGAAGCACTTCCCTCCTCAACTCCATGACTATCATCCAGAATCCTGTGAAAGTCTGTGATCAGGTATTTGCCCTGATCGAAAACCTCACCCACCAGATCCGTAATCGGATGCAGGACCCCAAGTCTGTAGGTGGGTGTGAGTGCTACTGTCTTCAGGTACGGGTACATTTCTCAGGCACTTGTGTGGCCTTTCTTAAATGTCTGAGACAAGGCATCCTCATCCCTCTGGTTCTACTCCAGAGTTGTCAGGGTCTTTTGTTGGAGGTCAAATCTTTGGCTCTATCTGACTGCCTGCCTTCCTCCCAGACCTGCAGCTCTACCACAGTGAGACACTAGAGCTAATGCTACAGCGTTGGAGCAAGCTGGAACGTGATTTTCGACAGAAGAGTGGGCGCTATGATATTAGTAAGATCCCTGACATCTATGACTGTGTCAAGTATGATGTACAGCACAATGGGAGTCTGGGACTTCAAGGCACAGCAGAGTTGCTTCGTCTGTCTAAGGCATTGGCCGATGTGGTCATTCCTCAGGTGTGTCTCATAAAAGTGATCTAGTCTGGGGATAAGGGCATTAGGAAGGGGAAAAAAAAGATTTGGGAACCAGGGCAAGAAAACTTAGAGAAGTAATTAGTTGAGTTGTTAAAATTCTCAAGATCCACTCTGACTCTGGGTAAGTATAGAAGGCTAATTGAGGAGGTATTTGGAGAGAATAGAGGGAAAGTGGTGGATAGAAAAGAAGCCTTAGATCTGAGGCATGATCTTGGGGCTAGAAATATGAAGCAAGAGGAAAGCAAGATTCACTGAAGTATTTATTCCTGGCGCATGGTCCCTTAGGAGTACGGGATCAGTCGGGAGGAGAAACTGGAAATTGCTGTGGGCTTCTGTCTTCCACTGTTGCGGAAGATACTACTTGACCTTCAGAGAACCCACGAGGATGAGTCTGTCAACAAGCTGCATCCCCTGTGAGGGAGGGCTGGGAGGGGTGATGGATGGAGGGAGGGGCATGTTGGGAACCCTTGGAAAATCAAGTCTGGGATGGCTTGGGCAGCCAAGAAGAGAGGGGATTCTGGGATGGAGAGAAGTCTTTGAGGTGGGAAAAAGGAGTTTGTGAAAGCCTGAGGAAAGGATTCTCTGACTTCATGCTAATGTAATTGTTATCTCAGGTACTCCCGAGGAGTGCTCTCCCCAGGTCGCCACGTTCGAACACGGCTGTATTTCACCAGTGAGAGTCACGTCCACTCTCTACTCAGTGTCTTCCGTTATGGGGGACTTCTTGATGTAAGGATCCTCATTATTCCTTTAGTCTATGAGCATCTGTCCCCAGAATTCTTCTACTGTCTTCCTCATGCTGCTTCTCCTCCCTTTTTTTTTTTTTTTTTTGTGAAGTACTGGGCATTGAACCCAGAGCCTTGCACATGCTAGTCAAATACTCTATCACTCAGCTTTCACCAGACCTTTTAATTTTAATTTTTAAAAATCTTATTTTGAGACAGGGTCTCTCTAAATTGTTGAGGCTAGCCTTAAACTTGTGATCCTCCTACTTCAGCCTCCTGAGTAGCTGGGATTACAGGCATGTGCCACCATGCCCAGCCTCATACTTCTTTTTTTCTGCAAACTTTCTCTATTCTCCTTGGCTCCCTGACCATTTCCTGACTCCCTGTCCTTGGGCATTGGCTTACCTCTTTTTGTGTTTGGTAGGAGACCCAGGATGCACAATGGCAGCGAGCTTTGGCTTATCTTAGTGCCATCTCAGAGCTCAACTACATGACACAGATTGTTATCATGCTTTATGAGGACAACACACGGGTGAGGAGCAAACAGGGTGGGATGAGGAGAGGGCCCCTTCTTTCTGCCTCCATTTAAAACTATTTTCTTATCCTTAGAATTTGTGGAATCCAGCTAAGTGTGGCACCTAGACACAGCATGGCACAGAGCATCCAGGAGGTTCCTACTGGAACAGAAAATATGTTCTGGGATGATGTTGAGCCAGAGAGATTACCTATAGCACAGTTGTGGTGTTGGGGAGGATATAGAATTTGGGACATTATAATGAGTCTTTTTCCCTCAAATATGATTTTATATATATACACTTTCTGCATCTGTCTCCACAAAGATGTCTTTAACATGCTGCTGAATGCACCATAGCAAAGTTGCAGTATTGTAGAACTAGAAGTTTGAAAGTCATGTGGAGTGGTGAACTACAAATGGTGGGAGGTGAGGGAATGAGGATCCAGTGACAGAGTATAGTTAAAGGGAAACTAAAACAGATCAGCCTCAGATTGGTGCAAGACCTCTGTCTAAAAGCTCAGGCCTGGATGGATCCTCTTGAGTTCCTCTCTGTTGCCCTTGCCTGCTCTTCCACCTCATACCCAGCTTTTCCCAATGGCCCCTTCTGTTCCATAGGACCCTTTATCAGAGGAACGTTTCCATGTGGAGCTGCATTTCAGCCCTGGAGTAAAAGGCTTTGAGGAAGAAGGCAGTGCCCCAACTGGCTATGGTTTCCGTCCAGCCTCTTCTGAGGTGGGTCAGAGGGCTGGGATAGGATTTAGGAACCAAGTGGAGGGGAAACTACAAACCATCCAGGACAGAAAAAAGGATTGGGGAGTTTGAGATTTGGAGGCTGGAAGCTATTAACACCTATTCCGTCTGTTATGGAACAGAATGAGGAGATAAAAACAGACGAAGGAAGCACGGAGAACCTGTGCCCAAGGAAGGCACCAGATGAGCCAGATCGGGCTTTGCAGACCTCACCACAGCCTTCTGAGGGCCCTGGCCTTCCAAGAAAATCACCCCTCATCCGTAACCGAAAAGCTGGTTCCATGGAGGTAATTAATGGAAGGGGCTTAGGAAGAAGATGAAGGGGTGGAAATATCCATGTATACTCTGAATCCTCTTGGAGTTATTCTTGGGATCTGAGTCTTCCTGCCCCTGGTTGATATGTTTTATCCTAATCTCTCTTTCACAGCTGGTCCCCCAGTAGAACTTCTTTAAGCTAATTGCTACTTCTAATATTAAAGTTGCCAATGACGCATGCCTGAGAGAGAATGATTTTAAATGACTAGGTTGAGAACGACGCTGGATAGCTTTGAACAGGTGGTTCTTTAAAAGGAAAGATATTAGAAACAGCATGATCTCTGGGCTTACATCCCAGTCTGATTCTTAGAAGCTGAATGACCTTGCCTCGATAACTAAACTTCTCTAAGCCTCATTCTTTTATCTATAAAATATAAGTAATATTCACTTTATAGATGCTTATTAAATAGTAACTATAGTAACAATACAAAAGATGGCTCTCTCCATCTTTTTTTTTTCCACCTTGGGTAAAAATTATAGTGCAGACATGAGCAAACACCTGACAGTTTAATGCCATTAGGGTTATATCTGTGTGTGGGCCTATGCCCTGCCACTCTTTTGTCTCTAGTTCTGGTTCTTATTCTCAAGTCTAGAGAAAGGAACAGTTTTTAATCTCACATTGGGTTTATCTAATTGTCCTGGGGTTTTCATTTGATCTTTTTCCTGGAAACACTGTTTTATCTCTTTGACCCAATGACACTCTTTTTGATGCCATGATTCATTCCTCTCTTGGGGACTTTTCTAATTTGGATGCTTCTGTGACTCCATGAATTACTGTTCACTTGACTCTGTGCCAGATCTCTATCCTGGAGGAGTTGGTTTTTTTTTTTTTTTTCCATTTTAGGGATTTCTTAGAAGAATGTACAACTGGCTTTCATAGGTCAGCCATAGGTTTCCAGTTCAGATTTTGGAGAAAGCCAAGAAGAAACACAATGGTCTCTTTTCCAAAATCATCCTTTACTTCCTAATTATTTTAAAGTAGAATTGATGTTGATAATTCACATTGGTATAAGCATTATTTTCTCCTTGAGGTTTAGGTGTAATTTGATGTCTACATTTCTCTACATACCCTACAGACTTATATGAAATTGATTAAATGGACAGAATGACATATCATCTTCCATAGTAAGCTGCTGCTTCACATTGAAATGTCTTCCCCACAGTCGTGGTCTGCTGGTCTGCCTGGCAGGATTGTGCTGGATCTCCTTTTTTCTACTGGTCTAAGCACAAGGAGACATAGGCAAAGGAGAGCTCTCTGTGTATAATCTCTTAGTCTTGCTGATATTGTCTTCCTTCAGTAAGCTTCCACATTCCTTCTTTCAGTTACTGTGTTACTTAGACCCTGGCTCAGCCAGGATGATGGCTGCTTAGGATATACTCCTCAACATTGTAAGAAATCTTCTTTCTGCTCTTTGGTCACAAAGCTTTATAATACTAATATTTCCTCTCCTTGCAGTAGGTATTAGATTATCTTATCCTTATCAATGACATCCTTCCTCCCATCCCTCCTTCTTGTCATCTCATATTTTTGAACTGTTTTGACCTTCATAGCAGCTGTGCCCTAGGTGGTTATCCTCTCCTAGCTAGTTATCCTGTAACTAGCTCAGCTCTTTGGGCATTGGGGATTTGGGAGCCAGGAGGTTAAAGGAGCCGTGACCGGCTTTCCATCCGGTCTGATTGCAGGTCATGAACATGCAGTGCACGGGGAACCTGGACCTGATCCCCTTGAGGGGACGGCGCCGCCGGAGGTCAGGAGACCTCCCCCGGCCTTCCCCAGCCATCGGCCTACAGCCCCGGGCTGTGTCCACCACCCACCTGGCATCCTGCACACAGGTGTCCCTCCCTGTATCACCTTCCTTTCCTGTTTTCTATCTCTGCTTTTTGGGATCTAAGGATGTGAAACACTATCTAGGTGGGATGTGTGTATGTTAGGGATTGTGTGATTGGTCCTCATGGACATTGGAATAAATTGGTTTTATGTATCCAGAAGTTAAATAGTTGGGAGTGGGGCACATTTGATGTAAATTAGAAACCTATACAGTAGTCACAATTGTCCCATGGAAAAGAGGAGACGGTGACCAGACTTTGTGGCTAAACCACTATAATTGTCTTTCTGAGCCCTGGGGAGGGATAGATAAGATTAGGGACCCCAGTCTACTTAGAACTATGAATAATTGGATCATGATTTCTCAGATTTGGTGTGGAAGGGCTGTGAGGACAGTTATCTTAGGAATAGAAGTGACTTGTATAATAGAAGAAATCCCTGGACAATTATCTTGCAAAAAAAACACTCTCTGTTCTCTTTTCATTTCTCTTTCCTATAAAAATTCTTTGATTCTTTCAAATTTTCTGATGCTGCTTGGCTTTGTAGGGGCAAGAATTAAAAACCTGGGTTTTATACTTCTAGGTTGAGGTAGCAAAATAATAACATAGAGTCTTTTTCTGCAGGTGCTGTCTGAGACTTCGTCTTCAAGGCCTGGTGGCTATCGGCTCTTTTCATCTTCACGGCCACCAGCAGAGATGAAACAGAGTGGCCTAGGTATGGTTTTCTAGCATCTCTCACATATGGTGGAAAGGGTTGTCTGTCTGTTCTTCAGAGTTTTATTGTGGGAAATCTTTGTCATGGGAGGTGGGACCATCCAGTGAGTGGAACTGTCAGGTGGGGGTGGGGAGGATGAAGTGTGAGAAGCCGTCGTTAAGTATGAACTTGTATCTCAGATGATTGTTTCCATCTCATGAAGGTGTCTGTCTTTTGGTTTTCTCCACAACCCCCTATTTCCCTGGCTGAATGGCATTTTTCTGGCTTTCCCTCTCATTCCTTATCTGCCCCTCCAGTCTACCTCAGACATTAAGGGGCAATGAAGACTCTGAACCTTCAGAGTTATGAGTGACAGAGCTTTAAATAGAGGTACTCATGATCCTCATAATTGTCATATTCCTCATATGGAGAACTTGTGCCATGTCTTCCTCTGAAGCCTGTATTTTTCACATCCTTGTGCTGCCCACTCCTACCTCTATGCCCTGGCCTTTATCCTGTCCTAATCCTGTAACTTTTTTCCTTTCCTTTTGGAAGATTGAGGGACAAATCTGAAACTGGTGTAGTGACAGAGGCTTCTCTCAGGACTTTGAGGGAATGTCTCTTGATTTTTTTGATCCCTGGAAAGGGGTGGAGAACTTCATTCAACCTTTTCTAAGAACACAGACTGCAGGAAGAACCAAGCCACTGAGGGTATTGTATTCTTTGGGAGGGGGAGGTGGTCCTTGGGAGAGGCTGACTCTGAACATGCTGCCATGTCAACCAGTAACTAGAATTAGAGGTCAGAGATGAATGTGTGGGGGTCTGAACTTGTTCCCCACCTTTTAAAATTTTGTCCTAATATTCTATTTAAATCTTCTCACTTTTCTGTTACCTTTGTCCTTAGTACCTAATTTCTTAGTTCCCAAATGGCCAGCATTTGAATCAGCAAGAGGGTAAAAGACTTTGGTCACTTTCCAGGCTAATTTTATGAGAGTTGGGTGCATTTTAGATCCCTGAAATAGAGTAGATGGTTTGGGGCATGAGAAACAAATGACAAATGTGTAGATCTGTGATACGGGCTTTTCTTTCCAGAAGTCCTAGTGAAGAGTAGATTTCAGATAGTCTGGAGAAGTGGGTAGGTATGTCTGGCCCAGTTAAATGGGATTGATGTCAAGAATAAGGCATGGGTAATGGACACAGAAGTGGTTGACAGATGGTGGTGGTAAGGTAGAGACCACTGGGCAGAACAGGATTGGCATGACTGCACTAGATTTTTCAGTGGAGGAAATAAATATAGGACAAAGCTTGGGGTGGTCTGGGATAAAGCCAGCTAGTGTTTGCCTTTCTGAATAAAAACAGACATATTTAGCAACTCTTATTGCTCTATGGCACCCAATTCTAGCATGAAAGATAGTGGAAATTGTTACATAGAGAAATCCTGAATTTTGGGGTAGAAATTATTAGCTATCTGATCTTTCTGATTTCTCTGGTACCCTTGAAACCATAATCTCTTCTTTGTGAGATCAAGGGAAACTGACCTTCTCTCTACTTTATTCATTTCCCCTATAAATATTAAGTCACCAGCCAAACTGAGGGTCTTGGCAAAGTTAGATTTGAAAGTAGAGAGGCAAATCCTAAAAATCTGGGTGTCAGTTTTACATCTTCCTGACTATGGTAGTAAAGACCATGTAATTCTAATTTTATGCTAAATCAGATATTGGGGACAGTGACTGGTTTGATTTAATCAATAAAACCTTATTTAATCAATAAAAACTTGATTCTTGCTGGGCATGATGGTGCAGACCTGTAATCCCAGCAGCTTGGGAGGCTGAGACAGGAGGATTGCAAGTTCAAGGCCAGCCTCAGCAAAAGCGAGATGCTAAGCAACTCAGTGAGACCCTGTCTCTACATAAAATAAAATACAAAAAGGGGCTAGGGACGTGGCTCAGTGGTTGAGTGCCCCTGAGTTCAATCCCCAGTACCCCAAACAAACAAACAAAAAAACTTGATTCTTCAAGTTTTGCTCCTCTGATTGATAGTAGAATTCTCTTTGCTTTCTTTGAACTTATATGTATGAAAATCTCGTTCTCATCATAGGGCTTACAAAACAATAAACTTTGAAGACAGAAAAAAAATGCCTATTTTTATTGTTGTTTCCTGCTTTCCTTCTTAGTAGGATGCTTAGCCATAATAGGTATGCTCTACATATAATCAGCTTACTTTTCACATGCCTTCCAATTTGTGTCCATCTTGACTTCAGGAACTATACTGTTTTCTCTATGGAAAAAATAAATTCTTTTCTATTAGAAAAGAACTATACTATTAGTACAGTTGGTCCTCAGGATCAGGAGACCTGGATTTAGGTCCACCTTAGCTCCTAAAATACTGTGTGATCTTAAGAAAAGGAGAATACTTCTGGATCAGTTTCTTCATCTCTAAAATGAGGAAGTCAAATAGATGGTCTCTTAAGTCCCTTCCAGCTTTAAAAATTCAATGAATCTTTTACTTTCATTCTTGAGAAATGTTAAAAAGGCCTGAAGATGGGGAATGTTGGATGAAGAAAGAATTGGAAGGGTACCAGCTGAGTGCACAAAACATGTCTCTAGTTTCAAGCAAGGAGTTTCCCTTTCAAACCTACAAGAGATTAGATTTCTGGGTTTCTCAAATCCTGTATCATTTATATCCTCTAAAGGGCACTGAGTTAAATCTAGGGGAATCCAGAGGGACCTAGCTATTCTTGTAGGAATTCTGAGAGCCACTCAGAGAGCATAGTCTCTCTCTTTCAGTAGCTTTGAATCCCATACTGATATGACTAACCCTGTATTTGTAGTGGCCTCTTTTCTCTGCCATGTAGATCTTTAGGAGAATTCCCACTTTGCTTGCTGAATGTGGCAATGGACAGTAGTGAATGCTGTTTGTGGTTACATGAAGTGGCCAAGTGTAGTGGTTTTGAATGACTGTGTGTGTGTGTCTTGATGTTGTCCTTGAAGTTCTGTGTACTTCTCTGTGCAGCTTTGTGTGGCTACTAACACACTCCCGGCCTTGCAGGCTCACAGTGCACAGGGCTGTTCAGCACCACGGTGCTGGGTGGCTCCTCCAGTGCCCCGAATCTTCAGGACTACGCGCGCAGCCATGGCAAAAAGCTACCACCTGCCAGTCTGAAGCACCGAGATGGTATGTGGGTGGGTTATGGGGGGCAAAACTTTTTTTTTCACTTGTCTCCCCGCAAGGACACAGCTCCAGAACTATTCATGCTTAAGATGGCACTGAAAATGGCATTATAACAAGTTTTCTTCATCAGTAATAAATGGAAGAAGAAACCAGGACCCCTTCCACCCCTCCATTTGCATTCCCTCTCACCATACAAATACTACTTATTTATGCTTATCCCTTCATAATCTCCTACATACAGGCTTGCTGCATCAATTTGTACTCTTTCCTGGATTCTGGCCTATAGGGGTGAGGACCAAGAGAATAATCCATGGTCAGGAAGAACACAGTGGATTCTTGATTAAAATCCAGGAAAGCAGGGTTAGAAAAGTAGCTCAGTTAAGGTAGAAAAGATGTGTAGAAAGAGATTGGGGAAAGGGAGGAACATGTCTGTAGAGATTTTCTTTTTTCCAGATGACCAGAAAGAGGACATGATGGTGAAATTAGTGTTGTTTGTGGGACTGTATTGTTGTAGAGGTGACACAGATTACTGAGAGATTACACCAGAAGACAAGATTAAAATATGGTAGCTAGGAATCTTAAGGGGTGGGAGTGGGACCAGGCCATATAACTAATTAAAGAATAGACTGTACTGTGGGCAAATTCCAAAGCAGAGGGTGGGGACAGGGGTGGGTATAATCCCCATGATGTCTTTTCTCCCCAGAGCTCTTGTTTGTCCCGGCCGTAAAACGATTTTCTGTGTCGTTTGCAAAGCATCCGACTAACGGTACGTTTGCTTCTGACTCAACATCATTCCTCCTCACCATGTCACCTCCAGACACTTAACCTCTGAGTTCTGACACTGACTTTGCCCTCCTTCCACTGTGTTGACACCCTCCTGTTTCTGAATGAGCTACTCACTAAGTGTTCCTAATGGGACATTTCCCTAGTGACAACTTTAGCCTTGGCTGCAGCCTGGTTGACCTATCCCTGTGGCAACTCAGATTCTTACTTCCATAATCACCATCATCACCATTATGTCTTTTTTGTCAGCATCACCATCAAGACATTGATTAGATCTCTCCTTTTCCTATCACATGACTGCCAGGCTAAATACAGCCGATAATGGTTCCTCTTCCTAGAAAGAATAGCATTTCCTAGATTGGGCCCATTTCTTTTACCCCACCCATTTCTCACTTTATGTAATTTTAATCTTCCTGGGTTTTTTCTCCAACTCTTTTGATAGGGTGGATTACTAGTTTGTTTCTCTTTTAGAGTAATGTTGCAGTTCAGGTCCCAAGCCTACCTATAAAGTCATTTGTCTCAAAGGTATAGTTTTCCATCTCCATATTCCTATCTTCCTGCCATTGTGTGTACTTTGTGTGACTCTCGTGCTCCTGACATCTGCTTTATGTTACTACTAACCTAGTGCCTGGGCCTAGAAAACAAGAGCCCAGATTGTTTTGGGATAAAAGAGGAAAAATAATCCCAGTGATGAGTTGCCATGTTAATACGGAGCCACCAGGTAGGGCAATGTGGCCCTGGTTTGGGTGCCAGTGAGTTTAACAAAACTTCTCAAATGCAGACCTGATGGACATGTTAAAAAAATACATATATATATATATATATATATATATATATACACACACACACATATATATATATGTATATATATAAAGTAAAGAGGGAATATAAAAGGAGTTGGAGGTGGGGAAGTAGCAGATAAAGGAGAAAGAACTATACCGTGAGGATTTTTTCCTTGGTGGTTTTGTATGTATGTGTGTTTGCGTGTGTGTGCACATGCTCTAGGGATTGAACCCAGGGCCTCACGTGTGCTAAGAATACACTCTACCACTAAGCTAGACCCCTAGACCCTGTATCTTGAATTTTTAAAGGTAGTTTCCATGTGGTCCTAGCCTACCTATGGCAAAACTGCCTAAGAGAAGCTGGAGGAGTTGAGATGTCTGCAGGGGATCCCAGGGAAGCTTAGGAAAGAATAATATCTCAAGATTTTTGAAGAACTGGGTCTGCTCACACTAAGGTGGGTGAGTTTGGAGATCTGTATAAATGAAAACCTGAAAAGTTAAGGTCTGTTTGCATGTTTTCCTGGATTCTGGCTAGTAGTATATAACAGGAGAACTTAAGGTTTACTCCCTGATGAGTTTTTATCTTTTATATCCTTAGTTTTCTCTGTATTTGTCTTATCCTCAAGGTAAATCTAGTTTTGTTAGATATGGTTTTCTTCTTTCCAAGAGCTAAGACTCTCTGAGGAAGATAAAATTAGTCTGGTTTCCTGGCTAGGAAACCTCCCCATTGCTGATATCCTACTGCTTAGCCAGTGGCAGGTTTTGGATTTTAGCCTAGTCAGGTCATACATCTCTACTAAACACTGGTGAAATCCTCCTTAGGTCAACAAGCCTGTATTTGCTTAATTTATCCCCATCCCCAGACCCCCACTTGTACCTGTGGCAGAAATCCCCATTTAGAGTGACATGGCTGTGCCTACTCATTTAGCTTCAAGCTTTTCTGGCCTTTATGTGCCATAGGCATCTCCAGAATAGAACAACATACGCCAACCCCCAAAATATAGTACTAGGTGCTGGGGCCCCTGAAATGAGAGATAAATCACATAACTCTAGATCCTTAGGTTTTATTAAAAAAGATCCAAGTTCATAAAACAGATCCTCAAACTATATCTCCAGTTCCCTGAAGCCTTGGTTGGCAGACTCATCAGCTGAAGAAAACAAGAATTAATTTTACCATAAGGAGGAGAGGAAGAAAGACCTGGACAATTCAGGTATAGTGCAGGAGAACAAATTCAAGGTCTCCTCCAACACTTTGCATACTTTAGGGGTTTTCTGGCCTCCTTTGTTTTTCTTGTGCTTGAACTTGGAGGCTAATGTGCCTTAGAAACTAGAATCTGGGGTCTGTTGGCAACAGAAGAAATTTTTGTCTCTTGCTGAAGATTCTGTAGATTTAATTTGGCCCTTAGAACAATATGAGAGCTCTGCCTCATGGCCAAGATCTTGCTTAACCCAGCAAGCACAGAGTGGATGCTCTGTCTACAATTGCTTGTGGTAGATTATACACAGCAGTATGCCAGCCTACTCTCATTATCACCATCTCCTTGCATGATGTCTAGCTTTGAAACAGCAGCTTGAAAAACTGGACCTGGCTTTCAAAAGGAGACAAGATAATACTGTCTTCATACTTGGACAGAAGCATAGCCCTTGGTCTCTTCCTGCCTCTGTTCCTGATAAGCTTCTGTGGCATCCCTGACTACATCCAGCATACAAATGTGCCTGTTACTAAACTGTATGCTGAACTCACCAAAGTAGGAGAGAAACTGTGGCTCACCCTCATCCAGAGTATCAGAATATGCCTAATGGATTTGTTAAGCCCATTATCTTCTAGAGACCCACGCCACTGTGTGACCGTTGATAAAGTTGGTTCTCATTAGACTAGTCTGGGTAGAGCTGAATTATTTCCTGACATCCAAACTAAAGTCTCTAAAAACCATATTTTCATGGGATCACCCTATGGAACTAGCTGTGGTCTGGGAGTTCTGAGCAGTCATCCTCACCTACCTTGATCTTACCTTTTCTATACCAACATCCTGAACTCAGATTCTTACTCATCCTCACATCAGGTCTTATAACCCCATGCCTTTTCCCCAAGAGCTTTCCCTGTTATTCTTCTTATACTCACCCCACCACATATCTTTCACTGCTTTTTAGCCTTTTTCAGCCAAATCCCATGCATCCACAAAGTTTGACAACCAGCTTAAATAATGAGGAGTTCAGAATCAAAGCTTTTCCATTCATCAGCTGAAAAAAGTTCAGTCAGACTCATCTGCATAGGAAGAAAACATAAAATGATCTCTTTTGGCTTCTGTAATGGCTACATTGTCCTCAAGAACTGAGATTTATGCATTCATTTAAAAAATATTTATTTGAGTAAGGTAAAGGATGATTAGTCAACATTGAGATTTTCAAAAACAGATTTAATTTTTTACATGCACTGTTTTAAAGGAGTCCTACATCTGGTTTCCTACTAGTCTTTTGTGCCATCTTCGTAGTGCCAGCCCTGTCTACATCTATCTTAGAATCTGGTCCAGAGAGCCTGACCTGAGCCTTCAGGAGAATTTTTAGCTTTAGGTGTAGCTTGATACTTAATAGAATTCTTGACCCCCTTCTCTGAGTGACTTTGAATCATTCCATCTCTATCCCAACCTCATTAATCCATTTGTCTGAGAAGTGGGCCCTAATTAGAGTTTTCCCAAGAATGACCAGGGACACTGAAGCCCTACTCAAAGCTACCAGTGACAAAATTTCCAGCTTACTCTATCCAGAATGATGTGACTGCTCTCTAGAAGTACTGACTGAATTATGCTCAAGAAGGAAAGGGAGGACCTTGTATGATAAGGTCTCATTTGTCCTTTCTTTTAGTCTCACTGTGTGATGTCAGCATTCTTCTTTGCTGCAAGAGATGCCCAATGTCTCTGACCATCTCTGCTTCTCTCTTAGCTTACCTTGGATCGAGTGGCCCTCATCTCCCAGTAATCCTTGTGCCAGTCAGTGCCCCCCTCATTGTCTCTCCCTCTTTCTTTATCTTTGTGCTTCCTACCATGGTTCCCCTACCCCCTCCAGAACTGCTAGATGACCAGCACCCTGTGGTCCGGTTGCTGCGCAGTTTTTCCTCTGACTGCCCAGGGGGCCGGCCAGTCTCCTTGGATGCCACGCTGGCGCATCACCTGCACCAGTGCTCCTACCACCTGCGCCTCTTCCGGAACTGGCTGCGCTCAGGCCAGGATGACCCCGAGTGCCTCTACGGTACCCCCTGCCACAGGCTGGCTGCTGCCACTACCCTGGCTGGGACTGATTGCTTTGCTTATTGCACTTCTGGCAGGAGAGCCCATTTAGTCCTTTATCCTGTTTTCCCAAAGTTATGTGACTTGCATTTAGTTGCTTGGATGGGATTGGAGCCAGACTGCCTGGTAGCTGTAGCATTGGCTGCTCATCCCCTTCCTATTCTCCTTTGTCACTGCCCGCTAATGTTTCCCATTCCCTAATCTGTTCAGTAGAGGTGTAATCTCTTGCCCTAGAATCTTTTCTTATCTTTCTAACCTCTACTACACCCAGTTTCAAAACCAGAGGTTTTTCTAACCACCCCGAGGAGCTAGAAACTCCTCTGTGCACCCCTGCCACTAGGTTATGGGGAAACAAAGGCACAGAGGCCTCAATTAAATTCTTAAGGTAAACAAAGTCCAAAGGTTAGAAAATGATCAGATATGATCATTTTGAATTATAGGTTTTAGTTGTTGGTGAACAGGAGGCCAAGTCTGCATAGATATTGCTGCCCTGCCTACCCTTTGTCCTTTTAAGGAGATGTAGAAAAGGCATTGGAAAGACTAGGTACTGAAAAAGTGGTTGGAATGCATGTTTCTTGATCCTTCAATGGGAACATTGTTTCTATCAGTAGTCCCTGGAAGTAGGGTTACACATTTAGGTTTACCTTTGATCCTACCCAGACTAGTAGACCTATATTAGAATTGTTGGGTTTAAAGCATAGTTGTAGTGTAGACTCCTTTTTCTAGGAGTTTTCCTCATTTATTGATGGAATATACAGATCCAAACAAATCTAGGATCTTCTAATAGAGCAGATGGGAAAAGCTTCGATGTGATGGAAATGACCAAGAAAGAACTTCCATCCCCCACCCGTTCATGCATGTGGTTTTCCTTGGCTGAGCTTCATGTGTATTGCATGCCCTCCAGTTTGCATCCAAGTATTCTAGCCTTTCTACCCATATCCTAAATTTGCATGAACCCTGCCTCCCTCAGATTTCATGCCTTCCTCCTTAATCTGGTTTTCTTGTTCATGATACCTGAAATCTGCTGTTTCTTCCCAGCTCCATGATCTCCCTGCCTCATGTTAGATCTACAGTTTCATTCCTTACCTGTGGATCCTTGTTTTATTTCCCTAGAAATTGCAAGAGCAATGTTAGTGCTTACCCTACTGGGCTTCTATTGATTTTTCCAGGGGACATTGCAGGCTATCCATAGATAGGATCAGAGGTGACTTGATTCACCTGGAAGCTTTAATAGATAGAATTTTTAGGAAATCTGGAGGTGAGAAAAATAGACTTTCCCTAGGGGCTCTAAAGAGTTCCCTTTCCTGGGAATCTTGGATACCCTACATTCTAAAAGCCACGGACTCTCCTGATGGCTCTCAGGGACTGTCCATGCTTCCTTGGCCAATTTAATTTGGTTCTACCTGATAAGAATAACATTGACTTTCCTCATCTTTTTTCCAACAGGATTTGAAGGGTGCTCCATGGTACCTACCATTTACCCACTGGAAACACTGCATAATGCCCTTTCTTTGCGTCAAGTGAGTGAATTCTTAAGTAGAGTCTGCCAACGCCATACAGATGCCCAGGCACAGGCATCTGCAGGTATGGAGAGTACTCTTATTTTATACCCCTGTCTCTACTTCCATTCCCATGATTCCTAGAAGACCTGAAAGTAATAAATTAAAAACAGGTACTCCATAAAGACACAAAAGTAGACTTGAAAATATGTATAATCATATAGGCCAACTAAACATCACAGAAATATTACTCCTTCCTAAGTTAATTTCTATGTTTAATGAGTCCAATTAAAAACACAAATCAAGGGCTGGGGTTGTGGCTAGGCGGTAGAACACTCACATAGCATGTGCGAGGCCCTGGGTTCGATCCTCAGCACCACATAAAAATAAATAAATAAAGATATTGTGTCCAACTAAAAAATAAATATTAAAAAAAAATCACAAATTAAGGACTGGGGTTGTGGCTCAGTGATAGAGTTCTTGCCTAGCAGGTGCATGGCACTGGATTCGATTCCTCAGCACCACAAAAAAAAATAAAGATATTATGTCCATTTACAACTAAAACTATTTTAAAAAAAAACATAAATCAATTCTTAAATTCTCTTTGGAAAACAAGTAAATGAGGGCTGGGGGTATGGCTCAGAGGTAGAGCGCTTGCCTAGCATGCATGAGGCACTGGGTTCAATTCTCAGCACCAAATAAAAATAAAATAAATGGGCTGAAATTGTGGCTCAGAGGTAGAGTGCTCACTAGCATGCGTGAGGCACTGGGTTCGATCCTCAGCACCACATACATATAAAATAAAGACATTGTATTCACCTATAACTAAAAAATAAATATTAAAATAAAATGTAGTATCAACCTATAACTAAAATAAATAAATATTTTTTAAAAAGACAAACAAATAAGTGGCAAGGTATGGTGGCGCACACCTATAATTCCAGCAACTCAGGAGGCAGAGGTAGGAGAATCATAAGTTTGAGGCCAACCTCAGCAATTTAATGAGTCACTAGGCAACTTAGTGGATCCTGTTTCAAAATAAAATGAAAAAAAAAAAGGAATTGGGATGTAGCTCAGTGGCAAAGGACCCCTTGAGTTCAGTCCCCAGTATACACACACACACACACACACACACACACACACACACACACAGGCAAGGATAGCAAAGAAAACCTTGAAGAATAATAAAAGGATACTAGCTTTACCACATTTAAAAAGTATTCTCTGATCCCAATGGCTTGGGAAGCTGAGACAGGAGGTTCATGAGTTCAAAGCCAACCTCAGCAATGGCAAGGCACTAAGCAATTCAGTGAGGCCCTGTCTCTAAATAAAATACAAAATGGGCTAGGGATGTGGCTCAGTGGTTGAGTGCCCCTGAGTTCAATCCCTGGTACCCCTAAAAAAATTCTATAAAATGTATATAATAAAAACAGTGTGATTGATAACAAAAATAAACAGTGAAACCAAGGAAACAAAATAGAAAATCTAGAAATAGATAATATTAGCATTCAAAATACTTGGTAAAAGAGAGTCTTTTTTAAATAAGTAGACTAGGGCTAACTAGCCATTTGACCAAAATTAAAATCAAATTTATACTCTGGAAAATAACAAAATTTTGCAGGAAGTAGTAAAATGCTGATTCAAGAGAGAGGTAACCTGGGCTGTGGATGTAGCTTGGTGTGAGAGCACTTACTTCATGTGTGTTGAGGTCTTGGGTTCAGTTTCCAGCACAAGAAAACAAAAATTACTACATTGGTAAATGTAAAAGCCAGCATTATTATATTTTGTTTTGTAACTCTTTTTTATTACATATATGATTTAACATACAAATGTTTAAAAGAATCACTATGTCTATATTAATTCACACACTTGCACACAGATGTAATCTGTGGTAAAAACAATATATGGTGAAGACGGAACTTTATAGCAGTAGAGGTTTTATGTTACTGAAGCTAAATTGCTATCATTTGAAACTACATTGTTATATTTTCTATGTTAATTGTAATCTCCATGGTTACTACTAAGAAAACACCTTAAAATATATGCCAAAAAAAGAGGGGAATCAAAATGATACACTACATAAAACCAATTAAACAAGAAGATGGCAGTAATGGAGGAAATGAGGAAACGAGGAACAAAATAAGTATGTAACATACAGAAATATCAAAATTGCAGAAATAAGCAATTTCTTATCAATAATTGCTTTAAATATAAATGAATTAAACTCTTCAATCAAGAGGCAGAGTGTCAGAATGGAGTTTTTAAAACATGACTCAACTATATACTGTCTACAAGAGACTCATGTTAGATCCAAAGACACAAATAAGTTGAAAGGATAGAAAAAGATAGTTCATGAAAATAGTAACCAAAAAAAGAGTTTGAGTAACCCTACTAATATTAGACATAGGTTTTAGGTAAAAAATAGTTACAAGAAACAAAGAAGGTCATTATATATTAAAAAGATAACTTATCGAGAAGATATAACAATTATAAAATGCATACCAAACAATAGCACCCAAAACATATAAAGCAAACATTGATCAAAATGAAGGGAGAATTCTAAAATAATAGTTGAGATTTCAATACCCCATTTTTAATAATGGGCAGAACATCTACACAGGAAATAAGTAAGAAAACGGATTTGTAAAAAAAAAAAAAATAAGTAAATAAATAAATATTTTTAAAAAAAAGAAAGAAAAAGGATTTGAACAACCCTATAAAACTTACTAGACATAATAGATAAACAGAATATTCCACCCAACAAGAGCAATAGATTCTTTTCAAGTGCACATGGAATATTATCTAGGATAGATCATATGTTAGGCCACAAAACAAGTCTCAATATTTAAAAGATTGAAATCATATAAAATATGTTCTTCATCTACATTGGAACAATGCTAGAAATCAATAACAAAAGAAAAACTGGGAAATTCACAAAACCTATGGAAATTGAACAATATGTTCTTTTTGGGTGTGTGTGGTATTGGGAATTGAATGCAGATTTATTCTACCACTAAACTATATCCCCAACCTTTTAAAATTTTTTAAAAATATTTATTTTTTAGCTTTAGGTGGACACAATATCTTTATTTTATTTTCATGTGGTGCTGAGGATAGAACCAGTGCCTCATGCATGCCAGGCGAGTGCGCTACTACTTGAGCCATATCCCCAGCCCCCTTTTTAAAATTTTTATTTTGAGACAAAGTCTTGCTAAGTTGCCAAGACTAGCCTTAAACTTGGAATCTTCCTACCTCAACCTCCTAAATTGCTGGAATTACAGGTATGCACCACTGTGCCTGGATGATAAACAACATATTCTTCACAAGGGGAATTAGAATATGCTTTGAGATGAATGAAAATGAAAATAAATACCAGAATTTATGAGATGCAGCAAAATCAGTGCTCAAAAAGAAAATTATAGTTGTGTACACCTACACTAAAAATGAAGGGAGATATTTAGTCAGTCACCTAATATGTACCTTATAGAACTAGCAAAATAGTAAACTAAACATAAAGCTAGCAAAGGGAAGGAAGTAATAAAAGTTAGAATGAGGGTAAAGGAAATAAAGACTAGAAAAACAATAGGAAGAATCAACAAAAACCAAAAGTTAGTTCTTTGAAAAGAACAACAAAATTGGTAAACCTTTAGGTAAACCAAGAAAAAGAGAAAGAATATTGAAATATCTAAAATCAGGAGCTAAAAGAACTTTATTGGGGCAGGGGGAGGTACCAGGGATTGAACTCAGGGGCACTTGACCACTGAACCACATCCCCAGCCCTATTTTGAATTTTATTTAGAGACAGGGTCTCTCTGAGTTGTTTAGTGCCTCTCTTTTGCTGAGGCTGGCTTTGAACTTGCAATCCTCTTGCCTCTCAGCCTCCTGGGCCACTGAGATTACAGGCATGCCCCACAAGGCCTGGCAGATTAGAACATTTTTAAGCTGACAAGGAAAAAAATAAAATCAGGAGTCAAAGTGGGGACATTCCTGTTGCCCTTGCAGAAATTAAAAGGATGATAAGAGAGTTCTGTGAACAATTTTGTGCTCCTAAATTAGGTAACCTAGATAAAATGGACAAACTCCTAGAAACTTGCAAACTACAAAATCAACTTAAGAAGAAATAGAAAATCTGAGCATTTTTATAACAAGGGAAAAGACTGAATGAGTAACAAAAACCTTCCAACAAGGAAAAAAATCCAGAACCAGATTATTTTACTGATAAATTCTCCCAAATATTTAAAGAAGAATTAACCCCACTCCTTCTCATGCTCTTCAAAAAAAAAAGAAAAGAAAAGAAGGAAACATTTTCTAACTCATTCTGTAAGGTTATCATTAACCTGATATCACAAACCATAGATACCATGGAAAAAGAAAACAACAGACGAATGCCCCTTATGAATATAGAGGGCTAAATCCTGAACAAAATGTAACAAAGTGAATGCAACACTACATTAAAAGAATTATATGCCATGGGGAAGTGAGAGTTGTCTCAGGAGAAGGTGATTAGCCATAAGAAAACCAGACAATGAACATTAATGGAATGAGGTGGGGGACACTGTCATCTCAGTTGACACATAAAAATATTTGACAAAATTCAATACCTTTTCATGACAAAAATTCTCAGCAAACTAGGAACAGTTTGAACTTCCTCAACATGTAAAGTGCATTCATGAACATCCATAACACAAATCATGCTCAGTGTTGAAAGATTGAAAACTTTCCCCCTAAGATCAGGAATAAGAAAAAAGAGTCCTATTTTTACCATTGCTATTCAATAGTAATACTGGATGTTCTGGGCAACCAAAGATGGAAAGGAGCGGACATCTAGATTGGAAAATAAGAAATAAAATTTTCTATATCCACAGTTGTCCTATATATAGAAAGTCATAAAGAAACTTTGAAAAAAGATCCCTAGATCTAATAAATAAATTCTGCAGAGGTTCAGACTGGCTCACAAAAGTCAGTTGTGTCTCTATACACCAGCAATGAACAATCCAGAATGGAAATTAAGAAAACAATTGTGGCCGGGCATGGTGGTACACACCTATAATTCCAGTAACTTGGAGGTTGAGGCAGATTTGAGAT